TTTTTTGACCACCGAACCACAAAATTGATCTCAATGCCTCAAACTTCCCTCCTACCTGCACTGAGAAATATCCACAAATGGGCTTATTGGCTCATTGCACTGCCTTACTTTTTTCCTTTGTTTACCCACCATAAAGTTCTCACTGAGATTAGAATATAAACCCAATTTTCAAGAGAGATTTGGTAAAGAAGACAAACAAACAGCGTTACAATAACATATAATACTTACAGCCAGTAATCACCACACAGCCTAAATCAATGCCAATACTCTGTAGACCTGCAGGGTCAGTCAACTGGTGGATTCGGGGATTTGTTAGTCTAGAAATGAATAAACCAAGCTTTACAAAAGATTGTATCGCACGCAGATACTAAGTGCCAAATAAAAACAAATACCAACTGACTTAAATGCCAATGAGATGCTGACACATTCATTGAAAAAAAAAAAAGCCTGAGGCTCAGATAGGACATGGTGTGTAATCAGAAACATGAAAGGGGAACACAATTTCAACTCAGATTTTTTTATGCATGATGTTTAACGTTTTCAGCAAATAAGTAGCGCACTGTGGATTACACAGTAACTCAAAATATGTAACTCTGCCCCCTAGTGGTGAAATACAGCAAAGAGCGACCACACAGAATTGGACTGACTGTGATGTTTCAGGGACTGGTTTAGGACTACTAAAGTTGATAACACTGCTTTTGTTTGGGGCCTCAATGTTTGTGCTTTTTTTAAAGCCGCATACACTGACCAGCACACAGAACTTGATTGATTGATCTTCTTTAACAGGTAAATCAATTAATTAAAGATGTCAGTAACATACATGTAAACTAACTTTGTTGTCTACACATCATCATAAGAAAACAATGTCTTTGAGAAGGTTTTACAGACACATACAGCCTCATACCCTCATACACCAAAACAAACAGGTAGCGTCTTTGGTGTATACACTGTGTGCAGCACCACTGGCTCTGGCTGTTATCAGCGGCCATTCTATCCAACTGATAAAGCATGTTGAGTCGGAAACAGGGAGCTGTCTGAGTGGCTGTTCAGTCAAGTGAATCACAATTTTCATCCAACAGGTTGGCTTATTCCTTATTTATTACCCCCTTTCTTAACTTCTTCCACAAGCAGAAGACCATCGGCTGGCAACGTAAAGTAAAGCAAACCTGAACAGCTTCAGGTTTAATCAGACATGTTCTTTATTTGAATTCTGAGACAGTCACTTTCACTTTGGCATGAAAATGCTTGTTATTGTTTGTGATTGCACGTTGTTCGCATGTTAGCAGCCAGATGTGTTCAAGAGCAACATTTAACAGAAGACATGAGGCAGTGTAAGTCGATGCAGCCATCTGTTTGGTCCGGGTAGACAGGCTGTGTTTCAACCCTTCCTCATTAGTTTCAGGTCCTGGATGATCACCACTGTTATTTTGAGCCTCTACAGTGCCTCAGGGTCAGATTCAGTCAGGGGACGACACTTGTTAAGTACACTTATACCAGCTTGGGAGAAACTTTTCATTCCCCTGTCTATACCCTTCAAAATGCCCTTCATAAGGCCCCGCTGGCCAATAAGGATTTGTGAGCATGTGAAACTTCACACATGCAGTGCATACTGTACACACACAACAGAGAAAAGACAGACAGAGTTCAGCTGAAGTCGGCAGGCTCTACCTCTATCTGTTCTTTTCCGTGCAGACACATGCGAAAATACACACAGTAGATTTCTCCTGAGAGGGAGGAGAGAACAGAAAGAGCACAAATGTGAGGAATGATGGACAACAAACAAGTCAGATGAGAACAAAAGCAACAGAAATCACAATGAGAGGTATGACAATGATAGAGGCATATGGAAAGAACAAAGCCAGTATCTCATTGTAAAGCTCTTTGTTTCACTGATTTCAAGGAGAAACTAAAATAAAATGACTGCAATGATAAAATATCATCAAAGTAATTTTCTATAAATGTAAACATCTTTAAATCTAGTGCACAAATGGAATTCATATCTCCTTTTAAGCAGATACAGTATGTTTGTCACCAGGGCAATGCTAACACATTGACCAAGTGCCCTGTCTTGTTGCCCTTATACATACAAATTTGAATACTTTTATTCATGGGCACGATTTTAAACCGGCAGCACATAAACAATGACTCATATGATCTCTGGGGGGACATTTACGTGTTTTGTCATGTTTCACATGCCACAGCTCTAACTAAAAGTAGACAGTAGCAGTCACAAATGTGTGATTGCCAATATCTGCAAACACAGGGGTGTACTTTGCAAGTACTTCAGCATTGTTGATCAGCCCCATTTTCAACACTGCCCCCCTCCCCCCTCAGTTAATGTCATCTCAACCTGTGGGAAACACTGCAAGCCATCAGAAATATCACGCGATGGAGGACCTCTCTGCTTTTTCACCTAGAAACTGAGCTTATGAAATGAGATCAGCATAGAAAATGATGATGAATTTGTATTGATGCTGATTATGAGGTACAAGAACAAGTGAGATTCATGTCAACTCCATCGTCTGGGAGGACTTTGCTCGACAATAACAATACACAATACAGTGAAACTGAAATCTTATAGGAGCAGTAAAAGACAAGTGGCAGCAACCAATCACCAAGAAACACACAAAAAATCTATACAGGAAAATTTTTTTAGACCTCTTCAGTCATGTCAAAACCCACAATCAAGAGGACAATCTCACCTAATCCCAAGTGACTGCAGATAATGATTGTAGGTTACAGAGGCTACACTGGAGCCACGTTTAGGCTGCACACAACAACAACAAGATCTGAGCCTTCTGAATGGACCCCAAGAGTTTTTCTGTAAAAATACAAGATATTGTACGTAGTACTCATGGAAGTTTATGTAAACTCCATTAAAGAAGCATTTTACTGTGGTTTTCACGTGCAGGTACATTCACATATGATGTGTGTCTTTCATGCTGTATCAAACAGAACTAGAAGGAGAAAGATCATTATCTTTCTCCTTCTAGTTTAAAGGCACAAATGGCTGCAGAAATGACAGTAGAGAATGGGGATCTGTCCCCCCTTTACTTTTTTAACCATTCTTATTGTAGCTTTCTCATCCCCCTTCCAAGCTGTCAGCCCGTTGCCCTCTCAGTATTTCACGGATTTGGTCTCCATTTCACTCATACTCTACTAATCTCATCGTTTAGATGGAGTCATGCGCAGACAACACATGCAAACCCTTAATGCCACTTTTCTCACATTGTATATTTCACTTTAAGCGCTGTTTTGCAAGGTTTTACTAGAGATTGCTGACCAGAAGTGTTAATTATTTTTTGTGCTTTCCATTCATAACCCCCCCCCCCCCCCCCC